GTGCAGGGGGCACCGGCGGTTTGTCGTTGCTGCTCTGCTCTGACTTCCTGCCTTTTCCTTTAGAACTACGTTTCCCACGATGCTTCAGGGTAGGCAGGGCTGCCCGGACAGACTCTGGAACTGAACGACAGAAAGAGACATTCAAATGAAATTAAATGGGTATAAACTGGTACATGAACAGAGTCCATGAACACAGAACCAGGTCCAGGTTCTGGTCTTGGATCTGGTCTCTACACACACTCCTGTCCAGTAAAAATAAAACTGATCTCTTTAATGACAGTTATTTTAATTCATTCCATCTCCATCCAGCCAGGTTTTTTCTGACTTTCTTCTTCTCATGGCTGTGAGAAAAGCAAATCAAAACAAAGCTGGCTTAAAGGGAGAAAGCCAGATTTCTGACAGAGGATAAACTGAGAGGCCCAGTAAACGATAAATAAAGATTATTTCTAACTGCAAATCATGCAGAGCTGCTTTAGTAGAGTCAACAATAGAACCCGGAGCTGGAGATGAGCAGAACAAGTTCTGTTTAAATCTGATGAATGAGATTCTGGACTCACCGTCAATCCTCAGGGACCTCCAGTAGGGGACGTGGTATCGGATGACCTCGTTTATTGTTGCCACGGCACTGTGGTGAGGAGGAGGGAGAGGCGTCACCAAGGCAGGAGGGGGGTCTCCTAGCAACATGCTGGTGCACATCGCCATGGAGTCAGAGATGGATGACAAATTGTAACCTCCCTGAGGAGAAAAAGACGCATCAGTTCACTCAAGTGTTCTTCACTTAATCCATGTTCACTTTCATTTCACCATCCCAGATCACCTCCAGTATGACCAGGACCCGCCCCCCAGCCAATGACATCAGCATGTGTGTGAGGTGGGCGTATCCTTCTGGAGTCACATTGTAGCCACCCAGGGGATCCCCCCGGGCTGCGTCGAACCCGGCCGACACCAGAACCAGACTGGGGTTAAACTACAGAGAGAAGACAAATTTGTGGAAGACTTAAAGGCGAATCAACCAATCAAAGCACAGTTTCAAGTCTAAACACCCAACCAGAGGACTCAGTCACATCTAACCAACCAATCAGAGGACTCGTTAAGATTATCAATCAGATTATGATCACTCTTCTCCTGATTAACTGCTCAGTGTGTGCAATAAATGTTACCTCAGTGGCGATAGGCATGACGACACGGTGAAAAGCTGCAAGATAGTCCGAGTCACCCATCCTTCCTCCGCTCCATGCCACATTGACATTAAAACCCGCCCCCTTGGCCACGCCCACCTTGTCGGGGGCAGCGTCCTCTGA